TTCACCTCTTTCCTTAATTACTTTAATTACACCCTTACTGGCTCCGTTTATTTATATGTATCTATTTTTTTCTCACTCTATTGGTCTGGCAGGGTGTGAGCACCTCAGGTAAGAATGCCGGTGAACCCAAAATAGCAACATGTGGCTGCCAACTGACTGCATGAGATGCTGCTTTATTATTATCAGATTTCATTTATTAATCGCTGACACAGAAGCAGCAGAGATTTATGCTCTTCAAACCACACTTGTGAGTCACTGCATGTACTGTATTCGTGTGTGTTTTGGGGGGGAGTGGGGGTGTGTATGTGTGTATCAGATATCCACCAAAACATTTTAATGCTACACTATAAGTGCATTCGATATGGAAATTTCTTGCGTTATGTACCAAAGCAGCTTCATGGGAACTTTTTGTTTGTCACTTTTAAGTGTTCAGGTGTGCCTCTGATTATACGGACTGGATGCCCCCCACCATTTATCTTTCAAAACACAAAGGTATGAGTCTCTAGAAGCGCAACAAAGCAGGCAGCAAACATTTAGAGGGCTGCATTGTTGGGTAATTACAGTAATCACTGTTCGAGGAATAAACTAGATGGAATGTATGCATCTTACTCTTCTATTTTGCCAAAGCACATGTGCAATCCCACACACTTTCACACCCACACCTGAGCAGACGCACAGCTGCAGACAAACATACGCTCCCGTACACAAACTATGCCGGTACCTACTGTGTTGAATTGAATGAGTAGAATTGATGTGGAATATCTGACTTTTAGGTTGGCTGTGATGTAGACACATTGCTGTACCTACCTGTGCGCCCAACTGAAGCATGACTATCAGTGGCCTCTGTCAGAGACTAAATGTGCTGCAGGGAATCTTGGGAATCTCAGTTACGCAGCGTCTCTTGTTGCCGTTCCTCCCTGCCCTGCTCACCTACAGCCCGTACTTTGTTGATCCAAAGACATGGGGGCTGGACACCCTTCACTCACAGAGAAGAAAGAAAACAAAGATGAGAAACAGGTAAGAAGTCATCCAGAGACATGCAGACAAGGGTTAGCGTGTGAGCGCAGACCGTCGCAGAGGTGGGGCTATTTTTGGAACTGTGAAGGATTCACCCAATGAATTTACATTGCTGAAATTCCACTCATGTCAGCACTTAAAAGAGATTTCTTCTCCTGCTCAAAGGAGTTATTTTAAATGTCTAAAGGTGAGCTAAAATAACAAAGTGCCAATTTTAGGAGCGACAGGTTATATAAGCATGATGTGTTTCTCCAGTCTTACCGCGAGGCAGAGTTTACTCTTCTAACCTCAATGACCTAGCAATTAAAGCAATTTCACTGCATTATTCAGTATGTATTATTTTCCATTACAACCTAAAGGTTAAATATCATCCTGACCTTCTCAAATGATGCAATATTCTGAAATAAGCCATAATCTAGATCTCAGGAGAGAAATGATAATGTGATACTTCATTGATCCCTGTGGGGAAATTGTCTTTACACTTCTGATTTCAAATTGCCATGTGGAGAATGAAAACTGAAAACAGGTGTGCTGCCTTTCACACCAATCACTTCAGCACAGGTGTGTGTAGCCGTCTTGGCAAAGTACCTGAAATCAAATACGGGCTCATCACACTTTTGCAAAGAAAAAAAATACATGCAGGCACACCTACCACCAGCCTGGTGGTGTAAAATTTTCTTTGTGTCTTGTAAGTGTGTTGCATAGAGGCGGTGATAATGATGGCACACATGCCGCTGCTTTCCTCAGCTCTGGTTTTAGGCTCACAGCGGTGGGCTCCTGAGTTTCAACAAAAACATTTTGGTTTCAACTCTCCAGCTGCTGCAGCAATGTCCTAGTGAGAGAAGGAAGCTGTTCCCATAATATAAATTTGATTAGAAGATATCTGACGACATTTGGTTTCTCTAACATCCTTTCTCTCATCACAGCTGACACTACAGAGTTTCTAATACGGACTTGACTCCAGACTTTTATGATGTACTGGTGTACCAGTGAAGGCAAAACATGTGCAAGACCCACCCTGGTTCACTTTCAATTTACAGGGATAATCTTTCCCTACAGCTAAATGGGAGTTGCCTGAATTCGGAAAAGCAATGGTGGACTGTATTTGTCCTCACAATGGGGGCACTAAATCAGGACCATAGCTACCATTGAACACACTGAAGTCATGTCCTCAGTATTTTGTCATGTCCTCAGTATTTTGTCAGGGTATATACATACTATTAGAGAAGACTCTGAAACACCCTTTAGACTTTTATGTTCGAAAAAAAGATGGAGTGTGTTTATTGGAGATCTTGATCAGTTGCATTTATGATTTCCTTATAGCTCTTTTACAACAACTTTAAACGTAAATGTGTAAGATATGACCATAATTTAAGTTTAAAAATTTACAAAAACCAACAGAATGTGAAGAAGTAACCATTCTAACGTTATGCCAAGGATGCCTATGTTTCGTTCTACTGAAGCTATCATGCTTACCAGCTAGCCCTGGCCCAACCTGTCTCGTTATACCACTTTGTACCTCGAGGGGGGATAGTCCAATTGTGAAGCTCAGGCCTTCCCATGTTTTAGCAGGGAGATGTGTGTGAGCAGCGAGTTCACTATGTTACACAAGCTCTCTTTAGTCTAATGAATAAACAAAATAAACTGACAAAATGTAAAGAAAGGGAAAATCTTACAGCTGTTTTCCTTATCAAACTGAAAAATGCAGCCGTACACCTTCTGAATTCAAGTTTCTCTCTTTCACCAAATTAAACGCCTTGTTAACTCATCATAAAACAGTTTCTTCAAACTCAACAAAATCATCTTGGTTAGTCTTTCCACTGTTCCAACAATCGTCAACTCAGGGGTGTTCGAAGTAAACCCTTAATTCACAGAGTTAGATGTGAAAATATTTTGGCTCTAGACGCTGTCGCTGCCTCTCTGATGCCCGTCCTCCATCCCGCTCCCCTCCCGCTGACTGTCCTGGACCCACCGACATCCCCTGGGTCAGAGTCCTGTTAATCACCTCGGTACTGTATCCCCTATTATCAAACTGGCCTCCATCGGTTTCTGAGTCTCACACACACACAGGCGCGCACACACGCACAGCTCTGGGTACCATGAGATCTTTAATCATGCCTGTCATGTTCACCCAAGGTACAATTAGGTGATAAACTTTGAACATGTAGACACACAAACCGCTCAGCATGCCAAACATAAATTTCCATATGTCAGTGCTTTCAGGTCGGTAGGCAGCAGTTAGTTTATAGTGACCTATCCTGTCGTATCAATATGAAGCACTGTATAGATCCACATACATGAATAATACAGTTAAACGTACAGTAAGTTGTTCAGGTGCCAGCAAAGTCCGAGCTGCTGACATAGGAGGAGTGATGGAGAAGACAGTTTAATGGTTATAACAGGCCTGGGGCCAAGCTCATAACTCATGTTAACTCTCAAGCCTCGCTCTGCACCGTCATCAGGCTGAAAGGTGTTGACAGGAGAATAGTTATTGGGACAAACAGACATTTGGTTTACAGGTGTCAGGGACTTCAGTTTTCTTAAAACCTGCTAGGGTAGCTATGTTCCCTAAATTGGTGCTATATCTTGACTAAATGTCTGCATGTGAAGTGGAATTTATTTATGGCTCATAAACGAATTGGTCATCAGGGTCAAAATGGTTACATTATGAAACCTGTGTTGCAATGATGCACAAAGTTTAAAAAGACTGACAGTCTGCAGCCTCAACAGGGAAATAACCATCAGCCTCTACTCCAATGTTGAGGAATTCTGCTTAGGACCACAAAATCTCTTGTTCCGGCCATGGCTCTCATTTTAAACCCATGGTAAACAAGTGTGTATGCTAGCCTGGTTGACCCTGGAGTACTTATTTGTTCAAAAAATGTCAACCACAACTTTTGATAGCAAAAAAAACAACTAAATCCAAAATATCCCAACTGCAGTTAGGTAGTAGTGTTGTTGTTTGGGTCGTCGGGATTTACATTCAGCAGTTTGAAGATCCTGCCTCCCTTGCACTGCTTATTTGCATCACCGGTTCAAACACAGAGTGGATCGCCTGTTCTCCACCCAGGCTTCTGTCGCTCGCTGTTTCTTTGCCTGCAGGTGCAATGGTCCTCTGAACTTTACATGACCTCTAATGCAATCTTTCTGACTTTTTTATTCTCTCAGCGCTCTTGTTTAGCCTGAGAGCTTACATATTATATATTGTGCGTTACGTGGAACTCATCCAAACCCATCTATTTTAATTCAGTTTTGCGTCCTCGTTACTTCCCCGTTCCACCGGAGCGCCGGCGGAGGAACAGGTTGAAGTGCACAGCAGGGACTGCCGTGTCTAATTTTCCATTTATTCTGTTCTCTTCTTTCTGCCCATCCACAGTCTTTCTGATTAATTTACCGCAGCACTGAACTTTTCAGCACCCTCCGAATGTTTTTGCTGGTCTATTGTGAGCGATAAAGTGCATCACCCACCCACGAAACAACCTAAAGTTTAATCGGCTGGGTATAGAGGAGAAATGTTAAAACGGGACAGAGACTAATGAGTAGGCTACAATTGGGGAAAATGATTTTTAAGAATGTTCAATTTAAATAAAAATAGTGATCAATCATCTGGCAGAAAAGTTTAGTTAATGAGTTTCAGGCGCTAAATGTGGTTCAGGAAAAGTTTTCTGTTAAAAAGCTGTGTAGGCAAACAGTTGATAGTGCTGTTGTCTCTCTCAGCGTCTGTATGATAAACGACTCCAGGACTTTTAATGGATAGATGTGCGTATTTCTGGTTAGCCTACATTTTAGACTAACCTATTTTTCATACCTGCCCTCTCTTGCCTCACTTCCTCCCTGTTTTTGTTCTTCAGTGGCGTGGCACAGTAGCGTCCAATTGTAAACATACATATATTATATCACTCAATCGCTTCAATGGATTCGGGCTGGAAACCCCGCCCGTGGGCCGTCCCTTGTCGAGGCATTATATTATAGCAAGACAAGCGTGTCTCCGGAGACAGATCAGTATTCTGCTGCTCCAGACTGAGGCTCAGGGTGCCTCCAGCGCTACAGACGAGCCTTTACAACACATAAACACACAGAGACATTGCTGCTGTCAGGACTGCTACACCTGCTCTGCTGCTCAGTTAAGACAGGACTGTAACGTAGGAGACACTTCAGGAAGAGGATCATCCTTCGCTTTAAAAAATGAAACTTGAAGTTTTCTCTGCGCACCACTTTGCTCAGAAGCCGCTGGAGCTGTGCATGGAAGCAGAGGGAGGAGTTCCGTCTCCTCTATCCGGGGACGAGCTGGGGTCGGACGGGGACTGCGTGGCCAACAGCCCGGCACCTGTCACCCAGAGCGGTGACGCCAGCAAGGGTAAACCCTACACCCGCAGACCCAAACCCCCTTACTCCTACATCGCCCTCATCGCCATGGCCATCCGGGAGTCCAGCAGCGGCCGCCTCACTCTGGCAGAGATCAACGACTACCTGATGAAGAAGTTCCCGTTTTTCCGCGGCAGCTACACCGGCTGGAGGAACTCGGTGCGCCATAACCTGTCACTAAACGACTGCTTCCTCAAAGTGTTGCGGGACCCATCCAGACCCTGGGGCAAGGACAACTACTGGATGCTCAACCCGCAAAGCGAGTACACCTTCGCTGACGGGGTGTTCCGCCGCAGGAGGAAGCGCATCGCCAAGAGGTCGTCAAAGGAGCAGGAGAGCCTGGACACCCTCAGCGAGGACACCCGCCTCCCTGCCCCGGAGGAGAGGGTGGGGGCCAAGTTCTCTAGCTCGTTCGCCATCGACAGCATCCTCAGCACACCCTTCAAACGGAGGGAGGACAGCTTCGTTGATGCAGAAACCCACGCCTCCCGGATCTACTGGTCCCAAGGGCCTCACGTACTGCCTTACACTATGAGCTATCCGGCACAGCACACGTACCTGTCAGAGGGGGCGTACAGCAGCACAGAGCCCAGCAGGGATGCACTCGCATACCTCCAGCAAACAGCACCGGAGGCCGCTCTCCATGCGCTCAGGATGCCCAACAAGGCGCGAGGTTTCCATATAGACTCTTTGCTCTCATAAAACACCAGGACTGTTGTCAGGCTTGTATGTTTTGACCCATGATGTGCACTTTTGTGGGCGCTCTTAGCTTTCAGTGCTTTAGCTGTTTAACTTTTTTAGTTTGTTTGTCTCACCATGATTACTGTAAGTCATTTTGCAGTGAAAAACAAACATGACGCGTTGTCAATATAGATCCAACTGTGGTGACTCAGCAAATAGTTGCTGTCATCACAGGACATTCCACTGTCTGCCTGTGTGTGTGTGTGTGTGTGTGTGTGTGTGTGAGAGAGAGAGAGAGGGAGAGAGAGAGGGAGAGAGAGTGTGTGTGTGTTTGTATTCACGTATCCATGGTTCATTGGTCATTTCTACTGTATGACGGCAACCAAGTGCCACGTTGAAACTCTTCATCTATTTATATTTTCTTGTTTTGTATGAACTGCTGTATAAAATATTGTTGTATATATAAAAATATTGACTGAGCTGCGATGAGAAATCACGTGGCTGCACTACCGCATGGAAATGCCCAATGTTTTCCTAAGATTGATTCATGCATGCCTGGTATTTTTATGAATAAAAAACGTGAAACAATGGGACCCTGACTTTCAATGAGTTATTCATTACAGACATGAAAGGGTGTTTGTCAGATCAGAAGCAGGTGTACAGATCAGCGGGGGCGGGAGTGAACGGGCCTTGCACCTGTTCAACAGGAGAGATAGTCTACTGTAGATTATACCATAAAGGCAAGAAAGGAGGAAACTGTTGGTCTCATAATCTTTTCAAAATGAACTCCTAAATCAAAATCATCAAAGTCAAACTAATAGAGGTAAAGTACAGTAAATCCAGCATACTGCCTTTGGGCTCCTCTTACACTGATACCTACTGAAAATTCTATGAAAATACAGTATATGGCAAAAGGAAAGGTAGTCTATTGACATATGACAATCAAGGCAACAGCTTGAGTAAACAAATAAAACACGAGACCATAAAGATTAAACATCAAAACAATATTGTTATAATCACCACGGTATATTGTATTATTGTGTCATGCACATACACGTGCCTAGCCCACATAAGACACCAAAAACACCGCTGCAAAGGTTAAACATTTGTTAGACTAGAATACAACTTCTCACATTTAATATTTCATTTCAAACAAAGACTTTTGTCTCAGACTCTATTAATCTGCCACAAAAACGGTTTCCTGAAGAACTCATCAGAAATGAAGGACATTTGACAAAAACATGTATTACTGTTGTTGCCATCTTTATATTAGTGTCTATTTTATAGGCTATATTAGCAGTCCAATTATATTAATCTGTTCACTGCTATGCGTCAAAATAAAAATATTTAAATGATTTGGTGCAAGCAGTTGGTTCTACGTTGTGATCATAAACTGTGTTTAACAAAAACAATGCCAGAGATGCGGTGTGGTGGTCATCTATAACTAACAACAGCTATCATTTTTTATTGTTTATGCTCATTTTTACATGCACACACAATATTATCTTCAACAACAGGCGCCGCAGCGTCCTGCAGGCTGTTTACTGCTCGTGTCCGGAGGAGGCTGCAGTTGCTCTCCGCGGTCCTGAAACAGACCCCCGACTCATTGGCCGTTGACGAGCTATAGGCCTAGTTCGAGCTATAGTTCATGTGAAATCTCGAATTTCTGGGTTCTTATTCCTCTAACTTCAATATAAAGACGAGAATACACAGTTAGTTGCCCTAAAGGTAAAAGGGTAGGCCTATTTATGTTATTTCTCGAGGTCTGTGTATTTGGTTGGTGTGAACTGAGAGTTTTCTTCAAAGGTACGCCGGTGAAATCGTGAGATCATTTTGTTGCCTTATGTTATCACAAAACAAGAAGAATAACGCCACAAAAATGAGATGTCATTTTCAAAATTTCAAAATGCTCTCTGTCAGATTTTGTTTTTTGTTGCAATTTAATGGAAAGCGAGTGTAACCCTTTTATTATTATTATTTTGTTTAATCATTATTCAAAATGACAGATCCTTCATACAGATATTTTATAAGATATTAAAAGACAAAATTCAAGCAACTTTTTTAACCTGGTGCTGGAGTTTTGGATATAAAGTAATTCTGACGTAGGTGGATAGCCTAAGTCAAAACGAATATAAAAACTAATACATAGTCGGTATTTTTGTTACAGCAGTCATCTCAGCATTTGCCCATCTTTTTAACACCCTTAGAATGGCTGAGTAGGCCTGCACCTATTCTACACGTCATGTGCCCCTACTGATCGTTATGCACATAAATTATGTTCAGAGCGCACTGAGCAGTCTGACAGGTGACAGGTGAGACTCACTTCTGTTTTCAGGGACAATGCTGCAACCTGCAGGTGAAACGCCAGAACAGCATACCTGTCTGCGGAGCTGTCACGTGGCTCAAGAGAATCAGAAACAGCTTTATTGGCAAGTAGGTTTACACATATAAGGAATTCAGTTTGGTGTTTTAGTGCCTAGTAATAAACAATAAACACAGCAGGTAGAAACATATAAGAAAGCTATACGATAAAATAAGACACACGTTCTCTTAGTGTCCCTACATTGCTCACGTCCTTGGTGTCAGGACGCGCGCTCTTCATACTTGTAAACAGCATTTCTCAGCACTTACATTTCAGCCGGTGTCTGTTTCGACCCGGTCCACATCATACTGCCTGAGAAGGAACTCAGGCCTCTTCCAGGGCTGACTGCCTCCGAATAAGGCCCACAGTGTTATGAAACTAAACTTCAAGGCAGGCACAATGTTAGGAAGTCCAAACAGTCTGTCACTCCGGCAAACTGAACCGCGCCTGACCTCCCAGAGTCCCGGAGAGGCAGCTCCAAAGCTCCCGGCCCAGCCACAGGAAACACAGGCGGAGCGGCCAGGAGAAACCCCGAGCAGTCGAAAGAATATTGGATTACCGTTAAAAGGACCTGAACTAGTATTCGTTATTGTTTTACTTGACATACGTTGTTTATTATAGGCCTATTTACTATATAAGCACAGTAAAAAACTAAAAACTAAATAAATATGGGAGATTAAAGACAGCCCTGCTTATTATTATGTAGTTTATAAACATTTTGTTTGCAGATTATTTGTTTTTAAATATTTGTTGATGCTTATTTTTAGTAATATTATAGGGTTCTTAAGATTTAGTAATATACTTAACTTAAATATAGTATAATAGTAGGCCATGGCGATTTTATTTTTAAATGTCCTGAAACAGGTTACCTGAGGTCAGACACTTCACACAAATCTCATGGAGGTAATATTTTATGGGGGGTAAAAAATACATTTCAGCCTAAACATGAAAACAAACAGAAGGCCTTTTTGTCTCGGAAATAGGCTCATATGGGCCTCCAGCCGTAACTGTATTCCAAAGACAAACTCTTCTATATCAAAAACACCTCTGAACAGCTTTCGTGGTGGCCGCTGATCACTTGATATTTCCAAAAAGCTAAATTAGGAAATCACATAATCTCGGTGCGTAAAAGCAGTCGGAGCGCCGTCTTCAAAGCGCTCCCAGAACAAAGATTCCCTCTGCAAGCCAAAGCATCCTGATCTCGGCGGGGGTCATAAGTTTTGATGTCGCAGGAAATTTCTGGGGCCGTTAAGATCCTCCATACAGCGCTGTGTGTCACGGTGGAAAATGATTTTATCCGCACATCCTTTGTTGTGCAAAGTGCAAAGGTTATTGTTGCTGGTTATTGTTTGGAAAACCCTCCAGGCTATATCTAAACTTTAAAAGGTTGTGTCGGCAAAAGCGTGCACAGAAACAGATTCGAGTATGAAAAATGAAATGTGAAAAATATTTAACTGTTTTTTTTCCCCTGCAGTTTTCATTGTTGGTGTAGGGGGTTGTTTTATATAGGCTACGAGCCGCGGCGTGGGCCCGTGGAAAAGAAAGACACAATAAATATAACAATTACACTGAAATATTACCTATGCAAGACTGTAAACCAATAAGTATAGTAAAAAGAAATCGTGACAAACATGCACAACACAACCAACAAAGCTCTCAGTTTAGGGACAGCAGCAATATTTCATGTTTTTTTTTGTCTTCAAAGCCCAATGATCTCCCCTCGGTCGCAGCACGGATGTTGATATTACCTTTATGGGATATATAACTCCATCATGTTGGACAAATCGGTGTGTGATGTCTCCATAGGGGAGGAAACTGTCGACGCCCGCTCGCCTAATTTCGCTTTTCTCTCTCTAATGAACGTGGGGCCCAGGGGACCGGCTCTGGCCCGGGGCGGTAAGCTGACACTGGCGCGCTGTGTGTGGTATCCAGGGCCGGGCTTGATGGAAAAAGCCTGCTTCCACTCATGTCAAAGTCATTTACTCAGAGCAACCCCCCGCTTATGCACGCACGGTAAAGACCACCACCTCTCCATCTCTCACACTCCTCGCCCCAGCCCGGCACCGCGACAGTTTGTTTTTGTTATCCTCTGGACCAGTTTGGGAGGAAATTAGGAGCAAAATAATACAAATAATACAAGATTGAGCGTTTTTTATTGCTTCACAGCGATGCGTTTGGGTATTATCTGCCGCAGATATATGAATGTTTTGGGCTTTATGGTTTAAATTGTAAACTGGACCTTTTTCACATACTGTGGTGCTTATTCGTGACAGGAAAATATATGATCTGTGACACATCGGGCTGAAATCACAACTTCATACATGCAGGACCAGAGGGGGGAAAAGTCGTTTTTTAACTTGTGCGTCTGGCGTGTGGCGCTGTTGATTGGGATGTCTGGGGGAGGTTTGATAGATGGCTTAATTGCGTGTAGTCCGAACTTGGAGAGTGGGGGTGGGAGGGGAAAAAAGATGACGAGGAGAGGAGAGAATGAGGAGCTTTAACGCTGCTGAGAACGGTAAGTGGACTTGGGCCAGATTTGACAAAAAAAAAGGGGTGGGGGGGGGGGGGGGCTCTATTCGTCACTGATTTCAGGGAGATTTGCAGGCGCAGAGTGCGGATGAGGGGAAGAGGTAGGGGGGCTCTCGCAAAGGGAAGAAAGATTTATGAAATGATAGGTGGTCGAGCTTTGTTTGGCTGGACTGCTGTGCGCAATAAGTCGAGGGGTTTTCGTGTTTCCTCCACTTGAGGGATTATTAAGGCGGTCGATGGCCACCTGGCGCGTCACACAGCACCACTTAGCGCCGCTGTGACACCCAGTGGAGCCTCTGTGTCGAGCTAAACCCCTGGACACCCGCTCCCCCCACTCTCTCTTCCTCTTCCTCTCTCTGTCAGTGCGTACCCGCCGTGCGTTCTGCATGCGTCAAGGGAGCACCGTGCGTAACGGGAGAGTCGTGCGTAACTGGACACAGATTCCACTCCATTTTGCGCTCGGATTCTGAGGACCACTGGCTGTGTAACGCTCACTTGCAAGGACACTGACCGCTGGATCTCGATATATTTCTCTTCTGAAACCCCTCACTACTCGTCTTTTCTCCCTCCCTCTCTTCACTCTACGCCAGTCGTACGTCAGAGTTGACATGACGACCGAGACCCCTCAGCAGCAGCTGGACCCTCCGCCTCCTCTGAGATCTAGCCCGGCGTCCGGCGTCCTGCACCCCGCCATGCTGAGCC